TCCATTATAGGGGGATAATATACTAACTTAGATTAAGTTACCATAATGGGTATATATAGTAATTAATATGGTTCCCCCAACATGGTAACTTAAATTAAGTTCCTGAACAGCAACCCAGTCACCATGGGCAGCAGGAGGAAAGGCCACAGAGACAGAGCGTCGCAGGGCCGGCAGGTGCCATCAACGTCTGAGGCATGGCCCTTCAAGCAATCCGCGCAGGCGCGACCCGTGCGGCCGGCGCTGCAGCGTCCTGGGTAGCCGCCTGGGCAGCGTGCCGCATCGCGGCAGCTGAAGACCGAGTAGCTCTCGCCATTGAAATCCGACACCGTCTACGGGGTTCTCAAAAATGTGCCCCCCGTTCCCTTTAGCGGGACTCCCCCAGGACCTGTAGCAATCCCCATAAGTCCTGGGGTTCCCAGAGGATTGTTGTTATTATCATTCTGTTTATCGTTATATACAATGCTTGCTATTGTTGCTGTTATGACTATTCTTATTATTTTCATTACTACTGTCTATGACCTTTTTTCAAGGACCCGAGGTCCTAAACCTAAATTTTTCAGGGAACGCCCACCTGAGCCCAGTAGCCTGGTAGCTGGGAAGGGTTTTCGAAGCCTCCAGGGCACTCCATGCCTTCTGGGCAAGGCAAACAGTCCGTGAAGTTCCAAAAATACCTGAAGGCATAGGTGTTAGGCTTTAGGGTTCCGGGTGTAGTTTAGGGTTTAGGTGAAGTTCAAACAGGTACCTGAGGGGGGAGTAAGAAAGTGATGGAAAGAAATGCAAACTACAATTTGGAGCTTAGGGCTCAAGAATTGGAAAAGAAAATGTAAACCACAACGGAGGGCTTGGAGGGGAACCAGGATGGGCTATCAGACCTAATTCTATTCGACCCTATTAACCCCAGAATCTACCCTGATATGGATCTTACTGGAGGGTTTTAAAGATGGAATGGGTTCCAAAGGCAACGACCTCAATATAGACCCTAAACTATTATGAGCCTTACTTCGGGGACCCCAGAAAGGCAGCCCTAATTTTTGGAAACCCCCCATACAATAGCTCACAAGGCTTGGAGAAGCGCCTTCCGCTCTCGCAGATGCAGTCCAACTGGCTGGATGAAGCCAAGGCGTTAGTGGTTTTGCCTAGGTTCCCAGAAACCCCTGAATCATAAGGGTACCCTTTTTTCTAATGTTCAGTTTAATAAGAAGACATCAAAATATGAAAAAGGGGAAAAACGGTACTATTGTGGTACCTAGTTGCCCTCCACACAGCTCTGGCACTGCGTCGCGCCATGTTTGGACTGGTACTCACCTTCACGATAATCAGTATACAGCCTACTCCTAGTCTTACAGGTTCCAGGTGTAGGGTTTAGGAAATAAGTTTAGGGTTTGGGATTTTAGGATTTAAGGGTCCGGGAAGAACCCATGCCCTTGTAGCTATCATCGGGGCCTTGCTGGCACTTCTCGCACTGCGTCGCACCCCACCCAGCTGCTTTGGTGCCAGGCGGGCAGGTGTCGCAGCTCACGGACGTGGAGTGAATTTGTTCTTAGTCCAGGGGCGCCGTAGGCACATAGGGTTTAGGGTTTAGGGTTTAGGGTTTAGGGTTTAGGGCGTTCGCCCTTAAAGTGACATCCTGATATCTAGTCCAGAAAGTGCTCTTGACTTTATGTTCAGGACCTCAGAAATATCTTTCTTTGAGAAATCCACCCTTAAACACTACACCCAACCCATCTCCCCGATAAATGTGGTCCAGGTGGCTTGTACCAGGGTAACACTGGCCTGACGAGCAAGGTTTGTTCAGGAATCAGGTGCTGAGGGTCTCGCATACTCGGCTAACCATTCGAGATCCTACATAGGGAATGCGGGAAGCACACGGGGCTTCAGCACAGCGTTTTGCAAATTCACGGGACAGAGGCTGACAAACACCGACAACAACACAGACAATCATCTCGCTCCGCGATCCTTAAATTGCCAGCAGGAATACCCTAAACTCTAAACCCTTAGCACCTAAACCCCTAAACCACACACCCCCAAGCCCCAATCCCTCCCATAGATCCGGTGCCATGACACCCAGTAGCTTGCGAACACTAAGCTACTGTAAGACTGTAAGCATGGAAACATCAAAAAGACAAGCAGATGGAAAATCATATGGAAAATGAAGGTATATAGGGTGTATAAGGGCTGAAGGATACTATAGTACTGGAGAACCAAACGGAAAATCAAGTGCCAAAGAAATGGAAACTGGAAGTATGTGGGGGTAGGGTAGTACGCACCCTCAATCCCTAAACCCTGTAACGCAGCTAAGCGGCGGCAAATGGCTGTGGCGCCGTAGTCATCCTCCAGGGTTTAGGCTTTGGGGTCAGGGTTCGGGGTGTAGGACAGAAGGTTGATGGACAAAATCCTGCCTGCCCCTAGTATTCATAATTCCCAAGGTGATAGGGTTCACCAAAGAAATCGACTGGGATTAGATGAGGGTCCTATCGAAAGGTTGCAGGCAAATAGCTCGTTCAGGGGCAACTCCCGCATAACAATACAATCACTCTACCTTGCGCCCTTAACTTCATGCACCCGTCAAGCTACAGGAAAAGATCCCCAACCCTCGACCCCGGCCCGGTAAGAAGTAATGAAAGGGCCTGAATAATTACCAATCTAACTTCGACGTCCATTTCTGGCATCCTGTACCTCTATTCTACCGTTGAGCTAGGATCATACTATTGGGTTGGCCCCTAAAACCCGTCAGTATGTACGTTCCCTTATTAAAGTAGGAAAAATATGAAACATCCCAGGGGCCTACCCAGAATATCACCCTAAACCCTAAACCCTAAACCCTGAACCCTAAACCCTAAACCCTAAACCCCTGAACCCTAAACTACCATGGGCTCGGCCTCCAACAGCGCAGAAAAACGTCCAGGCTCACAGGCCACGCACGTGGCCCCAGCTGTCCGGTTCTGCAACCAGCGACCGTCCTGGACAGACATCATAGGGTTTAGGGTTTAGGGTTTAGGGTTTTAAGGCCATGTATACAAATAATCCCTACATTGGGCCCTAAAGGCTGTAAATATTACCTACATGGGCTATTTGGATCCCTAGGGCATAGGTAGTCGAATTACAAGATGCTACGTAATGTTATTTTTGACCTGATAGCCACCCCTCCTATGTTTAGGGCGCTGGGTTGTGGTTTATTCCCCTTAGTATGTAAGTGCAGTGTACGGGCACTATATCAGGAACATTCATTATTGGGTGGGTGGGACTCTTCTAGACACAGGAAAAGTTGAGAATTGGCACAGCTACCGTGTGTTATGTGAATGTTCTTTCAAAAGCTCCCATATTCAGGTTGCTAGGGTATAAAGGGTCAGGCTCGGGGATCCGAAGTGTTAGATGCAGGCGTTGGGGTCGCAGGATTTTTTCAATTGTGAAATAACGATGCTCGCGCTTGTTTCGTATCAGTACGTTCGTCATACGAAACGCACAAAACCTGAAACCCCAGACTCCAAAACCCGCAACCCTCAACTCTAATCCCAATTTCGAGAGCCTAAGCCCTAGATCCTACCCGCTAAGCTAAATCCTGAATCCTGACTCCGAGTATGGGGTCGGCCGGCGAACCGGACCGTCGAACCGGCGAACCGGCAACGGTCAACCTCCCCCCCCCACCGGTCAGCCGGTTGGCCGGTTGACCGGTTGACCGGCTAACCGAACCGGTGAACTGGCCAACCGGCTGCTGAAATGGCTAACCGGCCAACCGGATCGGCCGACCGACCAACCGGCCTGCCGACCAACTGACCAGACCGTCCGACCAGCCAACCGGACCGGCCCACCCGCCAACCGGACCGGCCAACCGGCCAACCGGACCGGCCAACCGAACCGGACCGGCCAACCGGCCAACCGGCTGACCGGTAGGGGGTGAGGTTGACCGTCGCAAGAATGTCTCAAAGAAGAGAATTTAAAGAAAGAGAAAGGCCAAGGGCCAAGAGGTTCACGAGAAAATCTGCATACGTCGAATTGCAAAGGGTCTACCCAGTGTAGGAGGGGTTTATGAAGCTTTTGGGGTGCTAAGATTGTGGGTTTCAAACGAACAGGTACAGGGACCCATAAAACAAGACCATAACCAGTGCTCAAATCTCAGGATTTCAAAGCCTTGAAGGGTGCTCGCCATTGCTCGCCCAGGCCTTTGGGGTGCCAAGTTTGTGGGCTGCAAAAGAACAAGTTCCGGGGCTTACAAAACAAGGCCAAAGCCACTTCGAAGCCTTGAAGGGGCCTCGCCCAGATCTATGCCCAGAAATTTACGGGGGTTCCAGGTGCCAAGTTTGCTGCACAAGCACCAGGAACACACACAGACACAAGTATGTATGGATATGTATGCATGTATGTATGTAGGTATGTATGTATGTATGTGTGTATGTATGTTTCTCTGTGTGTGTACGTGTGTTTATATGTATGAACCTATGTATCTGTGTACGGATGCATGCACGCACGCATGCATGCATGTATTTGTATTCACACACATGCACTGAAAAGCGACCGAATTCTAAGGGTGCTCTGCATCGGAGCGCACCTTTGAATGAAAAAAACAATGAAATTGTCAGGATGCTGCGAGCGGGAGCGCGATTTTACTCTATACTTTCAGGATGCAATTAATTACGCTGATCATTTTATTTGCAACCGGGGCGGGGGCTGCGCTTCTTTTCACAGTTCATGCACACCGCAAAGAACAGCACGTGGTCATTACGTTTGCAGCAAGGGAGGGCTTTGTGGATCATAGTGTTTGCGCATGGGAGTCTGCACGCCACTCAACGTCCTCGCCTTTCTAAGCTATCCATGCTTTCCGCGAAAGCATCATGTCATTGCTATGTTTGCGTGAAAAAAGGGTTTGGCGGATCATTTTGTTTGCAAATAAAAAGGCTCCCCCCCCACCCCCCCTCTTGTTTAACAGTTCATGAGCACCGCAAAGAACAGCATGTCATCAC